GTTCCTCGCGCTGCCTTCCCAAGTCTTTTCATGCTTCTCTGGGGAGATTTTGCTCGTGGCTTGTCCTGGTCGATTCATTTTTAAACATTTGTTTTTATTATCCCGTCCTGATTAGCTCTATGGTGTTAGATCTCTTGGTCTAATATGCTTTTGCTAAGTGGACTTCCAAAAGCAGCATGGACGATGCTTTTCGAAGCAGAATTTTCAGAAGCCTTCTTTGTCATGTGCCATGGGTGAAATTGAAATGTCAACTGTTTCAGAGAAGCAGTCCTGACATGCTGTTTCATTGACAGGTTGCCTTTTGTTCTTTGCCAGCCCATCAGGTAACACTGCTCTGCGAACCCTACTTCCCCACGACTTCCCTGTCTTGATAAAAACAAGAACTAAGATTCCAGGTTGCGGTGACTTCTAGGAGGAAAAATGGGGCTGGGCTCAACCTACCTAGAAGATTTTCCCTCTGACCTCAAAGCTTTGTGCACATACTCCTTGGTGGTGTGAGCTCTCTGTACGGGCTCAGATGCACCTCGGTTCATTCTTATTTTTTCAGAGCCGAGTCCTGGCATTAAAAACCAGCGGTTGGGCCTTGTCTCAAATTAAGTCTGGGCAGAATGGAAAAATATATATTTAAAAGACTTCTTTAAAAAACCAATTGGGGTGAATCTCTGAAAATTTTCATCCTGAAGACTATTCCTTCCAGTCTGTGGAAGCTGTATTTGTCTGTTCAAGCTGATATGCGATTCATGGGGGAAATAAATGGCATTTCTCCTTTCCTTTGACACATCTTCTCTGTTTTTAAAATAGACACAGACTGCAGTGGGGTATGAGAGAGAGAGAGAGAGAGAGAGACAGAGAGAGAGAGAGAGAGAGAGAGAGAGAGAAGACTTGTCCACCAAAGTTGCATCTAGTCTACTAACCTTGGGATGCTTACAAGTACAGTGGTACCTTGGAAGTCGAACGGAATCCGTTCCGGAAGTCTATTCAACTTCCAAAACCAAAGCACAGCTTCTGATTGGCTGCAGGAAGCTCTTGCAGCCAATCAAAAGCTGTGGAAGCCCCGTCAGATGTTTGGGTTCCAAAGAACATTCACAAACCAGAACAGTCACTTCTGGGTTTGCGGCGTTCGGGAGCCAAAATGTCCGAGTACCAAGGCATTTGACAACCAAGGTACAACTGTAAGGCCTAATTGTGTCCCCAGCATCTCTGAAATGCATCATGGTTCCATCTTAGATTACAGTGGCTAACAGCCATTCCTGGAGGCCATTTCGCCCCCTATGAATTCTGGGGCAGAGATCTCAGCCTTGAGATCTCCTCTGTTCATTTGGTGTGGGCCTATCTCCTTTTTTGTCTTTTGGAAAGACTTGACGTTGCAGAAGATTCGCTTTTAAGGTGGGGCTGCAGATAAGCTGCCTCAATATTTCTGGCAAAGCCAACTGGTTTTGCAAAGATTTTGGGGGTGGGGGGGGCAAGTTCCCAATGACACACCTCTGCAGCCCTGAAATGACATCAAACTTGGCACCACTCCAGGCGTCTGGTTGCAGCACTTTCAGCAAGGTGTGCATGAACACTTAAGCATTTCCTGCCAGAACAAGAGAGACAGAGACAGTGCAGCAGGAGGGAGCCAAGACTGCCAAGGGTTCTTCAGAAAATGACCCAAGACGAGAGAACCAAAGAAATAATGGAAAAGACCGGCTGGCTTGCTGATGTCAGGTGTTCTATGACTCTAATCAGCCACCAGGTGGCAATGGAGGCCAGTGGTGGCTTGCTGGTGCCTTGGAAGGTACATTTAATAGAATCTCAGAGTGGTCAGAAACTTTAGAGTGGTCCCCAAGGGTCATCTAGTCCAACCCTCTGCAATGCAGGAATCTCAACTAGATCATACATGACAGGCGGCCATCCAACCTCTGCTTAAAAACCAGCAAAGTAAGGGGAGTTCAGGGACGCAGGTGGCGCTGTGGTCTAAAGCAGTGAACCTAGGGCTTGCCGATCAGAAGGTCGGTGGTTTGAATCGCCACAACAGGGTGAGCTCCCGTTGTTCGGTCCCAGCTCCTGCCCACCTAGCAGTTTGAAAGCACGTCAAAGTGCAAGTAGATAAATAGGTACCACTCCGGCGGGAAGGTAAACGGTGTTTCTTTGCGCTGCTCTGGTTCGCCAGAAGCGGCTTAGTCATGCTGGCCACATGACCAGGAAGCTGTCTGCAGACATACACCAGCTCCCTCGGTCTATAGAGCAAGATGAGCGCCGCAACCCCAGAGTCGTCCATGACGGGACCTAACAGTCAGGGGTACCTTTACCTGTACCTTTAAGGGGAGTTCACCACCTCTCGTGGGAATCTGTTCAGTGTCGAACACCTCTTACTGTCATGTTTTTAATATTCTGTTGGGAGCTGCCCAGAGTGGCTGGGGAAACCTAGCCAGATGGTCAGGGTATTAATAAGTTGTTGTTGTTGTTTATTGCCACCACTTGAGAGCACCACTTGTTAGGCAAGGGAAGCTGGCTGAGCTAGAAGAATCAACCAAGCCAAGGTTGGAAGCCAGATCTTCTGCAAGTCACTAAAAGCAGGAGGGGGGGGCAGCCTGCCTTCTGCCCTCTTCACCACCCAGGTGCCAGTTGTTTCAGGCTCTGGTGCCTGCTGACCAGCTGTATTTGTGCCATGCTGGATTTTTATATAGTATCTACCTTCTGGCTCGATGTGGGTGCTGGATTAACAATAATCCTCCTGCTGCCATGAAAAGGGCACTTCTTCCCCTTTGAAAGCCCAGGCCGCTTTCAAAGAACTGTACATTCTGCCCGTCCTTTTGGCCGGGAGCTCGGAAACGGGTGGGTGAAGGTGACCTGCTGGAGCTCGTCGTCAAAGGCCACCTCTGCACTTCTGCTGAAGGCCAGAGAGCATTCAAGGGCTGCTTTGCACCCTCCCTTTAGGAAAAGTGCCCATGCTAGTGGATCCTGGGTGGAGGGCCTGTAGCTCAGTGGCAGGACAGAGCACATGCTGTTGCCAGGGGAGGGCTTGAGGAAATAGAGCCAAATAGTCATTTCCCAAAAAAGCCTGAAGCATTTTTTTGGGGGGATAATAGGGGCAGAAATCCCCCCAAAAGCTACCGCTGCAGCCAGAATTCTGTACATGCAGAAATGGAAGGAATAAGAAGTTCCAACAATAGAGGAGTGGACTTTAAAACTATTGGACTATATGGAGATGGCGAAACTGGTGACAAAATCAAGAGGCCAAAAAAGACAAAATGTTTGCGGAATAGTGGAGACCCCCCCTTTTTTTTATTACAGTGGTGCCTCGCAAGACGAAATTAATTCGTTCCGCAAGTCTCTTCGTCTTGCGAGTTTTTCGTCTTGCGATGCACGGTTTCCCATAGGAATGCATTGAAAATCAATTAATGCGTTCCTATGAAAACCGCCTTCAGACCAGGTCCGGGGACAGTCTGTCCCCCGACCTCTTCTGAAGGCTGGGGGGGGGGAAACAAGGGCTTTTCTTCCCACCCCCAGCATTTTAAAAAACCCGGGTCAGCGGAGGACTTCTCCGCTGTCCGGGGCGATCTTAAAATGCTGGCGGGCGGCATTTTAAAATCGCCCCGGGACAGCGGAGGACTTCTCCGCTGTCCGGGGCGATTTAAAAGCCCCTGGGAAGGCAGGCAGGGGGGACAAAGGTGTTCCCGCCCCGCCGCCCGGCTTCGGAGCATCGTTCCGAAGCCGGGCGGCGGGAGGAGGTGTTCCCGCCCCGCCGCCCGGCTTCGGAGCACCGTTCCGAAGCCGGGCGGCGGGAGGAGGTGTTCCCTCCCCGCCGCCCGGCTTCGGAGCATCTTTCCGAAGCCGGGCGGCGGGGGGAGGTGTTCCCGCCCCGCCGCCAGGCTTTGGAGGAGGTCCGAGGACAGTGGGGAAGACGCGCTGCGCTTCCCCGCTGTCCCGGAGATTTCCCTATGGGCTGTCGTCTTGCGAAGCAAGCCCATAGGGAAATTCGTTTTGCGAAGCGCCTCCAAAACGGAAAACCCTTTCGTCTAGCGGGTTTTCCGTCTTGCGAGGCGTTCGTCTTGCGGGGCACCACTGTATCTGAGAAAACATTATAGTTCAATTAAATCGCAGGCAGAACTGGAAAATATAAGCCAAGGAGTGGGAATGATAAAAGACTGTATAATGGGACATATGCTATAGCTTGGGTAGGCAAACTAAGGCCCGGGGGCCGAATCTAGCCCAATCACCTAAATCCGGCCCGCAGACGGTCCAGGAATCAGCATGTTTTAACATGAGTAGAATGTGTCCTTTTATTGAAAATGCACCTCTGGGTTATTTGTGGGGCATAGGAATTCCTTCATTTTTCCCTTCAAAATATTTTCCGGCCCCCCCACAAGGTCTGAGGGACAGGGGACCGGCCCCCTGCTGAAAAACTTTGCTGACCCCTGTGCTATAGAAATAATTTATTACATTTAAGGCAGTAGATAAAAGGATTTGAACAGAAACATCACAGAGGTAAGGGTGGGAAGTCAAAATGCTAAGGGAACATTGTGCAGAAACTGAATTGAATTTGTTAAATTGTGTGGAAAATGAATAAAAATGTATGAGGGAATAAATGAAATAAAAAGAGCCCTCGTGGATCAGGCCAAAGGCCCGTCCAGTCCAGCATCCAATTCTCACAGGGCCAACCAGGTACCTGAGGGAAACCAGCAAGCAAGACATGAACAGAAGACCCCTCCCCGCTCCTGTGGTTTCCAGCAACTGCAGAATCATTACTGCCTCTAACAGTGGAGGGAGGACCCAGTTATTAGGGTTAGCAGTTCATGATGGCTGGTGACTTGCAGGCGTGCCAACTTGAATAAAATATTGGGGGTGCCCAGGTAAGCCCCGCCCCACATAATTGATCACATGATGCAGCACACCATTTGAATGGCAATGTCCATCAACTTTGGGAAGAGGGGGCTGGCCCCCTCAAATGTTTTATTGAGGGGGGAGCCAAAGGGACCTCGGCCCCTAAGAATTGGAAGTCCCTATGGTGACTCCTTTTGTCAGTCAGGACATATTATCCCGGGCTAAATGGACTTGATATTGAGATGCATAAGTCTGGACTTCGTAGGAGGCCCCCTCCTACGTTCCTACCTCTGTGCCTGAAAGCTCACCCATGTTCTTGGCGAGCAGAGATACATTTTGCAAACGGAATATTCTTCTTGTTGTTAAGGATGCATTTTATTAATTTTGTTTGTTTAAACAATTTATATGCCACTTAGCTACAGCCATCTCAAGGATACAAGGCAACAAGTAAAAACGAGTTAAGACTATGAAGTCAAAATTTAATTACCATGCCTGCTGGAATTTTAAAAAATGTCTCCGGAAATTCAGTAGGGAGGGGGCCTGTCTGGCCTCCATTGGGAGGGGGTGCCTTTGCCTGATGCACAGAAGCTTTTTGGTTTCCTGGCCCTGTCACTTCCCCCTGGAACATTCATGGAGCATTTGCACTCATCTGCACATGTGTGACGGCTGCCTCAAACGTTCATATTACTGCTTATTCCGCATTCAGTTTTCTAATTGGATTGGTGGGGGGGATGCATCAGACAGCAGCGTTTGTGAGGAAAACCACTGGCTTAATCTCGAATGTGGCTAGTGTTGTGTGAAAGCTAAAAACCTAGCAGTGGGAGCGCACTGGTATGTGGTATTGTGAACATCCCCTTAACCTGGACTGTGCCACAGAAGGAAGGGTTTTTAAAACAACAACATCCCAATCTGATATCCGCCCACCAGCAGCTGCTATTTAAATAAGAAATCGAAACACGTCTGGTGAAGCACTTAATTTTGTCCTCGGATGCCTCCGTTGTTGTTTTTTTAAATCTCTGGACTGCCACGCCTAATTCAGACTCTAGCGACATGTTCTCCTCAGCAAGAGATTTCCCTCTTAGATTTCTGCCTTTGTGTCGCAAACAGGTACAGTAATAAACCAGTGTCTGGGTTGTACTGGGCGAGCGGAGGGCTCATATTACAAAATGCTGCTCCATTACGAAACATTGCACACTGAAAACCAACATGTTAGGATTTCCTGACTACAACCCTTGTCCCTGACAAATATGTGCAGGGATTTATTTACTTTTGTGCTTCTACCCAAAACTTAAGGTTCACCTCAAGCCTTCTGGTACCTCCCTCTTGTGTGTGAGTGGTGCTTTTTACCTACACAAGCAACAAGACCTTCTGCCTGAACATTGGCAGGAAAGGGAATAATAATGGCCGCAAAGCTTACTTGAAATAGAGGTTTTGCCTGTACCATACTACTGATTTTCTCCTGCAATGAGCAGGGAATACAGGGGACTGACGGCTCTGTTCTGCGTTGCACTTTCTGAAGCCCAAGAGGCCTGGCTAGTGCCTCACACAGGAAGACGAGAGCCTAGCACAGGCCATACCTCAGAATCTTCTGCAACGTGCTAGGATACCTTGGCAGAAGAGTCAATATGGAAAGTAAAAAGGTCAACATTTGGGAAACCTCCATCCTGCTTCATGTCCTAAGGAACGTGTACCAAGGAAAGGTACTTCCAGATTTATTTCATAACAAAATTTATATACCACTTAATCGTAGTAAAAACTCTAAGTAGTTTACAAGAAACGTCAAGCGCTTTGCAATAAATGGGGGGGGGGGGGGCTTGATATTGCAAACAGGTCATTCAGATGTCACGAAAGGGCTGTCCGCAACAGGATTTTTGTTTAGATTTCAGCACTAGATTTTCCACAGAAATAGTAAGTCTGGATTAAAGGTGTGTGTGGGGGGGGGAAACAACAGGCTGACATTTTGATCTGTGTGAACCATGCAAGAAAACATTTTAAGCATCTAGCTTCCTCCCAAAGAATTCTGCAAACTGTAGTTTGTTAAGGGTGCTGGGAACTCTAGATCTGTGAGGGATAAACTACAGTTCGGGGGAAAGCCATATGCTTTAAACGTGTTAAATGTATGGTGTGGACGTGAACACACACTTATTTGCACTCACAGAACAGAGGATCAGTTATCAGCACAGGAGCAGCAATACAGAAAAGAACAGGAGCAGCATGCAATAAGCTGGGTTTTAGGGGGCAAGGGCCTTGTGTGTGTGTTTCTGCTAGGCGAGCTGGGATCAGGCTGTCTTCTGCGCATGGATGAAGAAGATTCCTTGCACGTCATCCACGCCAATCTTCAGACTCGGCGGCATGACGTAGGAGCGGAAGCTGCGGGTGCGATAGCCACTCTTGGCGAAGGATTCCTTGACATCTGCCTCGCTGACGGGCACAACCGACAGCTTGGCTTCTCCAGCCAAATAGAAGGACTCATCCAAAGCCCCGATCATGAGGAAGTGGCCACCAGGCTTGAGAAGCGTTGTGACGTTCCGCAGGGCCCGGTCGAAACTCGGCCGGTCAGGGCTCACGGCTTCCAGGCAGAAAGCCGAGACCAAAGCATCGGCTGGCTGGCTGAGAGAGGAACCTAGAGGTTTGGCCTGGTGGACATCGATGGGAAGGATCCTTCTGAGTTTCTTCTTCAGCTTTTGCTCTTTTTCCTTCCATGGTTCCCTAAATAAATAATCATTTGTTATTTATATGCTGCCCATCTGACTAGGTTGCCCCAGCCACTCCGGGAGGCTTTCAAAACAAATAATAAAACCACAGTAAAACATCACACATTAAAAACTCCAGATGTCTTCTAAAAGTCAAATAGTTGTTTCTGAATCTAAAAAGGTTCAAAGTCAGAAGGAAGAAAATACGAGAAATCTAAAGAAGGGAAAAGAAAGAGAAAATGAATAGAAGGGGGGAGGGTGAAGAAAGATAAAATAAAAGGACTTCCAGCTCTCTGTGGCTACACATGATATTTATTCTTTAAGATCCAACCATTCTATCCTCTATAAACCAGCATTTTTTCAATCTTCAAATCCAGATATTACAAGCTCATTTTCTCTTTCACGCAAAAAGTCCATAAGAAATTTCCAATCCTCAACAAATGTTGGTAAATGATTTTTCTCTAATTAAACATGTTAGCCGTCTCAGCCAAGTCCAATAATTTTATCAACCATTCTTCTACAGTGGGTAAGGCTGTGCTTTTCCATCTTTGTGCATATAGCAGTCTTGCCGCAGTAATCATATATTGTAGGTGTTTTACCTCAGTATATTATAAAAAGATGCTTTGTAATGGGTATACTTAGATGTCCATAGGTTTCCCATCCCTCTGCTAAGCTTTTGTCACCTGCACACTGCACAGCCAGTACCTCTTTATCTACTTGCACTGGCGTGCTTTCGAACTGCTAGATTGGCAGGAGCTGGGACAGAGCAACAGGAGTTTACTCTGTTGCACGGATTTGAACCGCCAACCTTCTGATTGGCAAGCCCAATTGGCTCAGTGGTTTAGACCACAGCGCCAGCAGCCAGTAAGGCGTGGTAGATCACAGGTAACCATGATTGCATCCCCAGGCTTATTCCTTGGGAAGCCGTGCCCCTCCCTTCTGCATTTATTTCTTACCCATTGCCTTCAATCTTACAAGTATACTGGATGTAAGGGGACCAGTCAAAGCAGCTGGAGTCTTCACCGAGCAGCCAGTTCTTTATCTCGGCCCGATTCACTTCCAGGTAGTCTGTGGCCACTATCTCCTCAAAGTAGTCGCAGGCACTGAGGAGCTGATAAATGGTGGGGCCTGTGCCAATATCAATAAGGGTGCGGCCGCAGATTTCCCCTGCAAGGAGTGAGAATAAAGAACTAAGGTGCGGTCATCTCAAGCAACAAACAATTACATAAAAAACTGGAAACCTCTTAGAAAATAAATAAATCTGTATTCATAATGAGGGTGGAGAGGGAGTGCAAGTCTTTCCCAAATACAATCATAAAAGAGGATTCAATACCCTGGCCCCGAATTTTCTGTCCAGAAATGACCTTCCCATAAGGTGAAGGGTGGAAGTCAAATGGCTAAAGTCGTATCCTGAGGAGAAACCTAGAATCCAGGCTACTTGGTTCCCTTTTCTGTTTGTGTGGGGAAATGTAACGGAGAAGCCTGCTGCAAATGCTCCCCTTCTCCCCCTCCTCGCACCCCAACAGATTTGATCCCATGGGGGTGCAGCTCACTGGAAGATTTCCCACCAAAATTATATTGAGATGGAAGCAGGATCCAGTACTTGTGATATAGTAGTTCAGGAGATACAGGAAAAACAGCACCTGCCAAAATTGCCGCTTCTAATAAAATTTCACAGGCACAAGAGGCTTGTATTCTATTGCATTTGGTCACCTTATCTCTGACGGTTAAAATGCCCAAGGGAAAGTCAGATAGAAGCTCCCAGCCAATCAAGGCCTGGAGGAACGAGGGGCAGCGCGAAAGATGGTCCTGTTTTCTGGATCTTTCCAAGCCAGTTGAGTTGTAAGAATCTGCACACACATTACATTTTAAGTCTTCCACATAGCCAGAAGAGCAGGTTCCATATTGTGATGTCTCGCAAGCCACCTATCAAACTAGCTTCCCTTTGACTCCACATCACAACACGCTGTCTGGCAAGAGAAGCCTAGGCATCTGGGTCCTCCTTCACACCTTGTAGAAGTGACTCAGTCGCCTCTTCCTCCAGGATCCTCCTGCCCATAAGGATCCTCCCCTCTCGTTGGTCAATTGCCCTTCTCACACTCATGATCTCACTGATTAAGCTAGATAAAATGTCTTTCTTTCTTTCTTTCTTTCTTTCTTTCTTTCTTTCTTTCTTTCTTTCTTTCTTTCTCTCTCTCTCTCTCTCTCTCTCTCTCTTTCTTTATTTATACATTTCACTAATTTTACATTCATTTTGATATTTCAAAACTTGATTTCCTTCCCCCTCTTTCTACAGTTCCTTAAATTAGTTTTTAATATCTTCTGCGTATCCAAATTAACTTAATTTGCTCATTTATTCATCTTCTTTAAATATATACTCTTATAAAACTGCAGGTTATTACAATAATCCTGCCAGTGTTTTATCTGTTTATAATTTATCTGTAAATAGTCAATAAACCATTTCCATTCTTTTATATATATAAAAAAATGTTATCTTGATTTCGTATTCTTCCGGTAAGTTTCCCACCATTTTCTCTAGTCATGGTGCCACTCCAAGATCTTTTTGGCATCCATTCTTTCGGACGACATTTACCTGGGATCTCATCTGCTGTCTCTTTCATTTTGCGGGGTCTAAGGTAACATACCTGCCTTCGGCAGTTAGTAAGCATGATCGTGGGAATACAGTTGTCAAATAGCGATTTTTGACGGTTTAGTTCTGGTCCCTTATATTCCTAAAGGAAAAGCTTCTGGTTTTTGTTTTTGTTTTTACAAAGGTTATTTTAAACATCCTTTTCATTATAATATGTATCATTTCCCAGTAAGCTTTAACCTTACTACAAGGCCACCACATATGATAAAAAGAACCTTCTAAGCTGGATAAAATGTGGCAGTGTGGTCTCCTACTTTGGCTGCGTATATTCATTTAAGAACACACACACACACACACACACACACACACACACACCTCGCTGCCAAAAGGCTCCTGGGAATTGTACTCACAGAACTACACTTTTTGTGCCCCCCCCCCAAACTAAGTAATTGACACAGCAAATTGGAGCCACAAGTTAATGCCCCCCAAATCCAACCTTGTCCAATTAGCACTAAACTTTGGCATCAGTTGTGGGGGGTTTTTTTGGAGGGGGGACCTGAAATTTCAGGGCCACATGTTAATGGAGCTCTTGCAAAGTCCCATGGCAGGAACCTACCACAGTAGATCACAGCAGGAATCTATCACAGTCCATCAAAGCAGCCTGCTTTGTGAGATGGCTCAGCTGCTCAGCAAACTTTGCAAGAGAACTCAGTTAATTTGCTAGTCGCCGCCTTTCCTAAACTTAAGCGCAGCGCAGAGCAAAGATCTTATAGGCAGACCCCACCCCAGCAGCTCAGTTTACCTCCTGCTTCTTGACTCCTGTTTCGTTTATTTGCCAGCAGATGAAAAGGTAAAGAGGTTATGATTTACAAACTGTACGGAGTAGCAGATTGCAACTAATATATCAGTCTGTAAGATTGCCAGAGTATCAGGATTGTATTCAACGAAGATCTATTCAGAGAAGACCCGTTCAAATTCATGAACCTGGATTAGGCGTGCCCCTTAACTCTGACTAAGACTAGCATTGGCTACAAATCCTCAGTATTTGGTGCAAAGTTTCAGGGCTCTAGAAACAGGCGTAGCTCAGAAATCCAATTAAGAAATTTCTTTAAGTATTTTTTTTAAGGGAGAAATTGTAATCACTATCAATATGAAAATAAAACACCAGACCAGAAAGCTGGCCTGTCTAGTCCTGTGCTAAACAAGCTAATGGAGCAAAGACTTACACCTGCAATCACTTCTGTGGTTGATAGCCTCTGGCGATGGTTAAAAAAATGAGTGACTTGGGCTGCATGCACACAATCTAAAGAGCATTTAAAGAATCCTAAGGATGCTGGAACTCAAAATGGCACTAAACTAGCACTAAACTTTGGCATTGGTTTCATGGGAAAGCAAAATTTTGGGGCCACACATTAATGGAGCTTCTTACAAGGCCAAAATCTCACCCAATCTAAGTCAGTTGCCTGGGTTCAGCTAACTATTTGCTAATTAATGTTAGAAAGATGCTGAGGTCCGGGAAGGTCATAGCTCAGGTTTTGCAAAGCATTTTACTCCCCACCCTCCAACTTTACAAAGGAGCTCTCTTTTTTTTTGCAATGCACTTTTGTTTCAAATTTAGACAGCTCCGCATCTGGAAAGCTTACTTTTGATGGATGGTGACGTTGTCAAGGAAAAGGTAAAAATGACCCAGAGGCATGGCCGGCCCAAGACATATTGGCACCTGAGGCCGAACCACTAAATGGTGCCTGCCTCCCAGCCAGGGAAGAAGCGGGGGGAATGAAGATCTACATCGGGAACAAAGGAAGAATAAAGGTTTGCGTTGGGATCTGATCTCCCTGTGAATCCTGCCACTTGAGGCGGGTGTCTCACCTTACCTCATGGGTGGGCCGGCCCTGTCAAGAGGGAAGGCAGAAGATTTTCAAACGAGACAAAGGGAGATCACTTTTGAAATCCAGGCATCCCCCCGCTTGTAAAGGAAAACAATTACAGGTCTACCTACCTGTGGCAAAGGCATCTGCCAGGCAGCGAAGTTTCCAGGGCACTGCAAACTCTTCGCTCGCAAAGTTGGCACGGGGTGGCATGTAGTTGTTTTGCAGGTAGGCCCGAGGGTTGAACTTCTGGTAGCTTTCGGCCACAGCCGCGATACCATTGGCGCTCATGGCTAGGGAAATGCTTGGCTGTGTCCGGCTCACGCAACCGGCTCTGGGTGAGTGGCTTTATAGCCCAGGCTGACCGAATGCAATTAGTCCCGAGTACTTTGGGCTGATACCGTCAGGATCAGCCTGCGGGGCCTGTCTAAATTGGGGCCATTTCTCTCGCACACTCTTCCGCTTGCCGTGGAGTAATTGAGAAGACCTTTCCAGGAGCTTGATGGAGGTCCTGGCAACGCCGGGGGCGAAGGAACGGATTGCTTTATCTCGCACTGGATAGTCGTTTAATAACTCTATTGAAAGGACACTTTATTGAAGCTGTTCATCCAGTATAACCAAATTACTGTCAGGAACTAGGGTGGGCTGGGAGGGGGAGTCTATGTCATTTGTCAGGGAAGAGCCCCGCTGGCAGAAGGTTAGGCAGCACCCCCTTCCACGCAAGAGGCAGGGGGGCCTGCAAATCACCCCACTCCTCCTACAACAGAGGAGACTGTCTAGTGGTTTTTACTATTAAGCCCTCTTCTCAGAGAACTCTGAGGTTTGTAACTCCATGAAGGGAATAGAGTTCTCCTAGCAACTCTCAGCCCCCTTAACAAACTCCAGCTCTCAGAATTTTGGGGGAGAAGCCATGACTGTTTACAGTGGCACATAGTGCTTTAAATGTATGGTGTAAATGTGGTTCTTTTTGCTTTTCACATTGTTACTCCATCTTTTCCCCCCAATGACCCTGGGATGGCATACACAGACCCTATTTTCCAGGGACAGTCCTGGATTGATAGAAGCCACCCCCTTTTCTGGTTTGCTCCTGGAATGCCTCACTTTTCCTTAGGATGCCCCTATTTTCATCAGAGAAATGTTGGAGGGTATGGAGTTATCTGACTCCTGAGCCGTCTGATGGCAATCCTGTATAGAGAAGGGCTTTTTTTAAAAAAAAGTTTAATGTTTTATTATGTTTTTGTATATGTTGGAAGCTGCCCAGAGTGGCTGGGGCAACGCAGTCAGATGTTGTTGTTGTTGTTTAGTCATTTAGTCGTGTCCGACTCTTTGTGACCCCATGGACCAGAGCACGCCAGGCACTCTTGTCATCCACTGCCTCCCGCAGTTTGGTCAAACTCATGTTGGTAGCTTCAAGAACACTGTCCAACCATCTCGTCCTCTGTCGTCCCCTTCTCCTTGTGCCCTCCATCTTTCCCAGCATCATTGTCTTCTCCAGGGAGTCTTCTCTTCTCATGAGGTGGCCAAAGTATTGGAGCCTCAGCTTCAGGATCTGTCCTTCCAGTGAGCACTCAGGGCTGATTTCCTTAAGAATGGATAGGTCTGATCTTCTTGCAGTCCATGGGACTCTCAAGAGTCTCCTCCAGCACCATAATTCAAAAGCAGTCAGATGGGTGGGGTTTAAATAGTAAAATTATTGTTATTGTTGTTGTTATTATGAAATAGGGCGCCCCTGTTTTCATGAGAGAAATGTTGGAGGGTACGCATGCCTACGCTTCTATCCATTTGTCCTCACAATGACCCTGTGCGGCAGGCTAGGTTGTGAGAGGATGACTTGGCCTCAAGTGACCTTTGTACCAGGATTTGAGCCCAGTCCTCTTGCCTGGTCAAGGCCTGACACACCACTCACTGGTTTTCCTTCTCTCTTTGCCACCCTCTGCCTTCCCTCCAACCAATGCCTCCCGCAATCTCTTGCACACACAGAGAGACATGTGCGTCAGGCGTCCTGCCCTCTCTGCCCACAACACTCCTTACTGAGTGACTTTTTTGCCCAGTCGGCTTGTCACGTTGCCCCCTGTCCCCACCTCACCCTGTAGGAGGAGACAGCTCAATCCACTCAGGACATTTTCTCCCCGTTATGCCAAAGTTGATTCCCGAAAGTGCCTTTGAACCTGGCCCTGTGTCTGTGTGAGAGAGAAGATGGGAAGGAGGGAGGGCTGTTGGTCCTCCTGAAACCAGAGTTGGGTTGTGAGGGGAGGGGGAATGAGTGGGTGGAAAGATCTTTCTTTCCCAATGACTTCACCCCTCAGACGCGTCGTTACTCAGCTGTGCTGGCTCAGTGCAAACCTGTGCTGCCAGTGAATCCCGTAACCCATCCATCCATCACCGAATGCCTTTCTGAATTGCATCCCCTTGCTCGTAACTTCTCTTCGTCAGAGGCACGACACCTAAGTTCGTTTCATTCTCCAGAAAGTTCCAGAAATTCTGCTGAGATTTCATTTCTGCATAGTGACATCATAGGGAACCTATGAGATCATATACAGGGTCATGTACATTACAGAAATTAGTATCCCTCCAGCACATGAGATCATAACGGTAAGCGTTCTCATTATCAACATGGATGAGGCCACATGTCACTGCAGTCTTCTTCTGGCAACCAAGTATTTTCTCAAAAAACCTTCCCATCTGAGATGAAGAGTGAACAAGAGAAAGGGGGGGCGGGAGATTAAAGCAGGGGTAGGCAACCTAAGGCCCATGGGCCGGATCTGGCCCAATCGCCTTCTCAATCTGGCCCATGGACGGTCCAGGAATCAGTATGTTTTTACATGAGTAGAATGTGTGCTTTTATTTAAAATGCACCTCTGGGTTATTTGTGGGGCATAGGAATTCGTTCATCCCCCCCCCCCGCCCAAATATAGTCCGGCCCCCCACAAGGTCTGAGGGACAGTGGTGAAACCCTGCTGAAAAAGCTTGCTGACCCCTGGATTAAACATTTGCATTTTCCCTAGTAATCAACTAGATTTCACAGGAAATGCTCAACCTCCTTTGAAATCACTACTTACCCTTGAAGTTAAACACATTCCCATTTTACAGATGACACAAGGGAAGTAAAATCCACTGCTGATCAAAGATTAGAATCCAGATCTCAGACCCTCCAAGTGTCCCCATTTTCCAGGGACAGTCCTGGATTTACAGAATCTATCCCAGTTTCTGATTTGATCCTGGAATGTCCCGCTTTTCCTTAGGGCGTTCATATTTTCATTAGAGAAATCTTGGAGGGTGTGCCATACATGCTCCTCTTGCCACTGAGGAATTGTGAACTTCCCACTGAATTAGACATTGGTCGCTTTTTTCTTTTGACAGGTGACGAATATGGGCACCTATAAGTTGTCAAATACTAAATATCGACTTCTATTCAACAGTGTCATGCTGCATAAACCACTGCATATACCGCTGTGTGCTGATTGTCAAATACTGCCATGGCTTCAATATTTGGAGGAGCCAGAGACGGCCACCAGCTTTAAAAGAGTATTAGACAAATTCATGGAGGAGAGGGCTATCGAAAGTGGTCGCTATGACCTGCCTCCACGGTGAAGAAGAAGAAGAAGAAGAAGAAGAAGAAGAGGAGGAGGAGGAGGAGGAGGAGTTTGGATTTGATATCCCGCCTTTCACTCCCTTTAAGGAGTCTCAAAGCGGCTAACATTCTCCTTTCCCTTCCTCCCCCATAGCAAACACTCTGTGAGGTGAGTGGGGCTGAGAGACTTCAGAGAAGTGTGACTGGCCCAAGGTCACCCAGCAGCTGCATGTGGAGGAGTGGGGAAGCGAACCTGGTTCCCCAGATTACGAGACTACCGCTCTTAACCACTACACCACGCTGGCAGTAATGCTTCTAAATAGCAGTCATAAGAACATAAGGAGAGCTTGCAGGATCAGGCCAACCGCCCATCTAGTCCAGCATCCTGTTCTCACAGTGACAGACCCGTTGTTGGAAACCGCAAAGGGAGAGTGCCTCATATGTTTGTGGTGATGAGCCTCAGCAATTGAAAGAGATATTTCTCTAGGCAACGACCCGATATCCCTCTTGAGAATCAAAAGAAGCCCTTGTCTCTTGGCTTCCAGTGGGCCCAGATTGGAAGCACCAAATTTAATGGCAACGAACATTATTTCTATAGCGTCTCTCCAGCTCCCGTCTCAGAATAGTGCGTGTTTTGATCTTCCGGGCTAAATTAATGAAACGACCCGTCGACAGCCACAAGTTGCTGCCAGGAAATGACAGGGTTAAAAATGTATTAAAAATATTGTCACGTCACACATTTGGTTTCCAGTAGCAAACGCACCCAGGGGGAAGGGAGGGGAGGTGTCCGGTATCAGAATGCTCCACCGGTGACTTTGCAAGACCGATATAGCTCTGAATGCCAGCCCCTCTGGAATCGGCATTCAGGAAACCTATATAAATCACCCGCAGCAGGGACAATAGACTAGACCGAAGGGAGACTCCGAGAACGCATCCTAGTTCGAGCAGAAGCCCAGACGCAACGATGCACGGAAAGAGCGTGGTCCTTCGCAGCTCAGGGAACCTGGCCGCAGCTGAGCTGAGCTGCCAGGTATCCGAGAGAGACACATCCCGGAAGGAATCTTTCAGTGCGGAATGGAAGGACCTCTCACTCACCGCTAGGCCTGAGGAAGGGTGAGTGTTGGGCTTGGGTCTGGTGGGGTTGATAGGCTTGGTCCAAAATGTTATAATCCAGCCAGGCGGCTTTGTATTTGTTACAGAAGTCTACTGGCTGGGTCCTCCCAAGGAAGCCTAGATAAAACCAAGTATTGGGAGAGGTTAAACATGCATTGCTCTTGGGGTCCCTGCCAGCTCTATGGTTCTATGATACAGTCAAGCCTTGGAGGTGCCAGACATGTCAAAGAGGAAGGGCAGGGGGAGACAGCACAGGCCTATCAGTGTATAAAGTTAGGGGGCTTTTTTGCCCCAGGGTGCATGACACTGAGGCACATTAGACATTTCATTACCCATTCACTCAGCTTGTAGAGATCCTTTCGGAGCTAATTTCCAGGCGCTGTTTGCTCCCCCTCCCCTCTGAATAATTTGGTGCCCTCAGCAAATGCAGACACCGCATCGCTCACCTCTGACAATGAAAGCGGAGCCTCTGCTTTTAGCGACTGTGGTGGTTTGGTTTTGAGTGCTACATCTCTCCTCCGGTTAATCTGTCCCTTTCCTTTCTAACCCTTTGCAAGGATATCACACTTGTATGAGTATGAAATCAGGGGAGAAAGTATTTCGCCCGTTATGAAGCAGTCTAATCGTATTTGCCAGGCTAGGGCTGGGATGGTAAGGTGTGTGGGGTTTTAAGGCTGGGAGAGGGGGTTTTGGGGTGCATAGAACAACAGAGGGAGGTGTTGCTCAGCGCAGGATCTGTAACACCGGATGCAGCTGGGGCATCACTGTCAGATGGCTGCCTAGTCTCTGCTTGTCAACCTTTTCAGCAAAGAAGAGCATAGGAACCTGGGAAGCTGCGTTAAACTGAATCAAACCCATTGGGCCATCTAGTTTAGCACTGTCTACAGGGACTGGCAGTGGCTCTCCAGGGATGGGACAGAAGTCTCTCACAGCCCCACCTGGAGATGCTGCAGGCCTAATCCGGCCTGCCGGTCATTTTAATCCGTCCCCTGTGGCAGTTTCTTTCTTGGGGTAAAATCCCCCAAAAAGCTCAAGAACTTCAATCCTAAAGAAAGGTCAACAATTCTGGTTGGCCCTCACACATGCTCACTTCACCAAATCTGGCCCTCTTTGAAAAAAGTTTGTTGGGATTTCCTCGTTCTTCCATCCTTGTGTTATCAAGACTCTTGCCGCTGATGAGCTAGGCAGAGTTGGCGAAATTGACATACAAACTGAGGGACAAGGACAACTGTGACTTTAAGGAAGAATGGGGAGTTTTTACAAATTATCCGAAAAGACAACAAAATGAACTGGACTCCTTGGCAGGTTTTGAATAAACATACACAAATTTATTGGTTGAGAACATGATAGATAGATAAGGTAAGGATATGTATAATTTTATAACATGCAGAGAATGATATGTGCAGAGAAATCAGAGAGAGGAGCTGAGGGAAGTCCTTGGTGGGAGGGGGAGGGAGGGATAGGAGGGGGGAGGGGGAAAGGAAAAAATAATGTGTGTGGTTATATGGTTTGATAGTTTGTTATGTTGAAATTGCTTAATAAGAAGTTTTTTTAAAAAAGAAAAAAGTTTGGGCACCCCTGCCTGAAGCAGAGCTGTGGGGTGAATCTGTGATTAATTCTCCACTCCTTCTCTCCGCAGCTGGTCTCGGTTTGAAGCAGACAAACAGCACAGAGAAACCTACCGCCAGCAACAGGAAGCCCGGGTCATAGTGCAGAGGTCTCCATGGGGCATCCTTCGCTTGGGTCTGCTGGGCAAACCTCTGACCTCCTACCACCTGCCGTACCAGAGGCCTTTGCCCTTGCCCATCTTCACACCGGCCAAGCTAAGCGCCAGGGAGCTCACCCCGACCCCCTCAGAGTCTGTGGAGTCCTTGCCGGCGGCCGGCGTGTGTCTCGACAAGAAATCTGTGGCCGAGATCACCAAAGAGCTGCCCCTGGTCATCCAGCCCACCTGCCCCGACTTCAAGAAAGGCTTGCCCCGGTCCTTCTCCCGTTCCATGTCTCAGGATGCCCAGAGAGGCTGAGCGTACGGGACCCTTCCCCAGCGCAAGGACTTTCCTTCGGGAACTGGCTTGGATGCCTCGGGGGTGGTGGCCCCCCACATCTGTTGCTGCATGAGGACAATCCGAAGGGGCCCAGGCACATAGAAAAGGTTTGGTAGGATCGAAGCCACCTTGATGACTCCAATGGAGAACTCTTGGGGGTGGGGGCAAGGACTAGGACTAGGACTATCTCTGTGTGTGAATGTATATATTAGATGTACAGCATCCTGCACTTCTGCCACCAGTGCTTTCCTTTCTGCACCGTGCATTGCGGTGGTGTTTATTTTATTTTATTTTTAAAAAAGGACTACCTCCCCAGGGAGAGTTAGGGAGAGCCCCCGAATTAAAGGAGAGAGAAAAAGAAAACAACGAGAATGTCATGCACAAAGCAGCTCATGGAGCTCAAGGGCCCTCCTCCCTGTGGTTTCACATAGCTGGGTGAAACATATTTGCAGATAGATGGTGATGGGAGCCCTGCTTCACGAGCTTAGCAGGAGAGAGCGAGGGTTCCTTGCAGAAAGAAGAGGAAGGTTGAAGGGTTAGCGGCAAGTGAGAGAGTATGGAAGACATTGGCGATGCTCCTGGTTCTGTTTCAGCCGATGTGGCCTGCGCAGGTGTTTGGTGGGTGGAGAGGAATCTGAATGTTGTACTTGAGGAGCAGGGAGAGGTTAATGGGACTAAGCAACTTCTGAGGTGGCGTTCTCTCACCCTCCTCCCCAGATAGACCTGACTTGGGGTACGGGGACTCAGTAAAAATTTCCCAGTGCATATATAATGGGGAACATCTGCAGCTTGGGGAGGTGAAGATGAGCCAAAGTTGAATTAAGGGGCTAATAGAGAAGGAAAGGAAGAGGGTTTAACCTGGACAGAAGAGGTTCAAGAAACAGATTTGGTTTTACATCTGACTCCTCCCCATAGGGTATGATAAACTATAGACAAATCATTAAGAATTGTAGAGAAATCCACTGTGAATACCCCAATGTCCTGTATTTCTTGTCCTTTGCTTTACTTTTGAAGAAAGCAAAAAACATTGATCATAGTGGAATGCTGTATGGTGATTTATTGTATTCTTATAAGATAAATAAAAATGAGGGGAATGACAGAAAAAATGTCTCCTTAATTTCAAAGACCTCCTAAATTTCAGAGACATTGCGTTTTTGTCAGGTTGCCCGGCAAAGTTGCTCAGCTCTCTTTTTCATGCTCAAGGGATGTGCGCCCTGAAGATTGACGCAGAAGTCCAACGGGTGCAAAGGAAAGGAAGCTGGTGTCCCAGCTATAATAATAATAATAATAAATTTTATTTATATCCCGCCCTCCCCAGCCGAAGCCGGGCTCAGGGCGGCTAACAACAATAAAACAGTACAAAAGTACAGCATAAACAACATTCTAAAATCATTCATTATAAAATTAATTAATTCAAGCCACTGGCAACCATTGGGCCAGAGCTCCGCGAAGATTGCCGAGGGAGGGAGTCAGGCTATGAAGAAAGCCAAGTTCTCCACTGATTCTGTGCCACCTCACAAGTAGACATCCGTTTCTCAGTTCACTTCATGCTGCAACACACCTTAGGAAGCAAAGCAAAACCAAGCAAACCTTACCTTGCCGCTTTCGGAAACACAACATCGAATTGGGTGGCATAGTTTGGTTCAGTCCAGCTTGTGTTGGTCAAGGAGCATGCAGCTGTTCACGTGACTTCCATTGGGGAAAGAGGGAAAGTAACATGGTTTATTTACCCTTACAAATGAACACGGCTGGAACTTTGCAGTGGAAGGAGGAGCCCACAGGGGCAAGAACTGCAGTAGGGAAACCGTGGGAAGGGGCAGGATTAAGCTGCTTCTGTGTCTCCATTTGGGATTTCTCCCTCCTGGAGCTGCTACTACATGTGTATGAATGCAAAATCCTCCTTACTTACCAGGGGTAAAACACCCTCAAAACAAGCACCCTTCCATCACAGCCCCACACCAGGATGTGTGAATGGAAGTCCCCCTTCAAACACACATACACACAGGTACTGCACAGGAGCATGGACCTCCCCCATTATTATGGGCTGTATTCAACTAACAGCATAGTATAGCCCCATGGGTATACGCTGAGTAAAAGTTAGTAAAACACAACCTGCGGAGACACACACATACACACAAAAGTGATCGCAAGATGTCCTTTTAAGTCACAACATCTTCTTGCAACTCTGTCCTGGATGTTGTTGAGAAGAGACCTTTGAATCAGCAAATATTCCCCCCCCCCTCACTGAAATCTCCATCCAACTCCACAAATCCCCTGTTGAAAATGTGCCTGAGCCGATTCATTAGCTAACAGTTTATAGCTAGCTAACTGCATGTTCACAATGATCAAAGCATGTAGACCCTTGTCAAAATCTGTGACTTCCTAGGGATATCCAGGACATATCCAGGGAGTAAATCTATGATTGAAGGCAGGCTTAGCATTGGAAGTCATTTGAAATTTGAAAAGAAACGCCTCAGAATGCAGCCGTTGAGTTCACTGGAAAGGCCTATGTCTGTCTCCAGCCTATGTGAAAACAACAGTGAGTTTTGCGGCATCTTAAAAGACTTTAAAAATGGATTGTGGCAAAAGGTTTTGTGGAGTCAAGTGGATGACTCTTTCTGCCACAATATATTTGCTAGTCTTAAAAGTGCCACAAGGGAAGGGCTGCTCAGTAGCAGAGCCTGTGATTTGTATCCTAAAGGCCACAGGTACAAACCCTGGTGCCTGCAGACAAAGATTGAAAGACTTATTTAAAATTCTGGAGAGCTACTGCCAGTCACTGTGGACTATGGACTCAGCTACATTAGTCAAAAAACAGTGTTTTGAATGCGTTATAAACATGCAACACCATATGATGCTGGAGAGCAAAAATAAAATAAAAATCTTTGCGATTTCCCATAGCTTTTTCTTTATTTGTTATAACAATTTAATTTCTGACTTACTTATAGCGTGTGTTTTTTGTGTGTGAAGATCCACCCTAAGTTATACGAAAATTTGGGGTTGCCTTTTACAACCCAAATCTCCCAAGGGACTCAGAGTCCCCTATGTCCATGATTGGTCAGAGAAGAATGGGTGGAGGCAGGAATCAGCAGAAAGAAGGAAGGGATATCTTTATTATTGTGTGGCAACAGAGTCCCACCACCACTACCTTTCACAATGGTGAGGAACCAGAACAAAAGTGTGTAACAACTTTTAAAGATTTTAGAAATTGCCCAAGTCCTTAGCCAAAGACCACCCAAAAGCACCATATAATCGTTACAGAAAGAGGCAGTCTACAACAGAAATTTGAGAATGTGGCCTGTCTGCTGTCTGTCAAGATCCATGATAATGCTTGCCGAATGCATTACCCGGGCCATTCTGGACCATTCTTTTGAAATGGTAAATCCCCTAGTTTCTGAAACCATTGTCATAGACTTCTCCTATTCATACACAGGATTTGATGGATTTATAGGTGAAAAGAAAAGGTTTCCCCAGGATATTTCCTTTTACTGCAGGGGAAATATTTGGGGTTACCAAGGACAGCCAAGATGGCATTGGTATTGACCTGTGTACTAAAATAAAGTGTCTATTTCTTCAGAGAATATTTCCTAATTTTGAAGGAATGGATTGGTTTGCTGTGGAATGTGTGTCCCTTAATTATTTTTTTTAATAACACAATACAGACCAATTGCCTAACTTGGTATAAAGCAGCTTTGTCCTCTATTTGTTGTTGTTTTCCTTAGGCTGCAGACCTCTTTGTTGCTTCTGCTGCCAAGGCAGCTACGCCTCTAGAAATTTGGCCTAACAGCATGAGATACTTTTGTTGGGGTTGCTGCCATGGCTTGGCATTGTGCTCTTAAGGAATGGCGAGAGCAGCGCGGAATGTGTTTATCTCCTTCGGAAGGGTGGATCACGTTCGGGTTTGTCACATGTGTAAACATATCCCAGAATTCTGTTGGGGCTCTGATTGTTTTGCACTGTGCAAACAGCAGCCCTGACACACACACACACACACACACACACACTGCAGGAATGGGGCAAGCAGCCTTGCTCCTGTAATTTTCACATGGCCAAAGAAGTCAAGGCAGTGGTGTCTGGTGCCCAACAAAAATGGCAGAGCATGCAAGTGCACTTTTTAAAGAAAAACAGGTGCCAGTACTCACCACGAAGTTCTTACCGTAAGTGCCACACTTTTAACATGGGGGTGTGTGTGTGTGCCAATACTACATACCCCTGAGTACCCTCAGAGGGAAAAAAAGCACTGGGGCAGTTAAGCAGTAGGCAGAGCCAGAGCCAACTCATTTTAGTTTTGTCCCCCTGCTGAGTTCTGCAAGGGCAACTCTGAGACTAAGGAGGATGGTCTGGCAGGCAAGGAAGGCCACCCTCTGGGCTTCTTGTGAGTAAGAAGGCAGGCAGGTCTGGGCTGGCGGAGGGCAGACCAAAGTTGGTTGGGCAGTGCCACATTTGTCATAAGAATAGTGGAGTCATCTCAGTGGCTCATCTTGTCCAGCAACCTGTGTAGTGGCCTGAGGGAAGCACGCAAACAGGACCTGAGCATACTCAGGGACGTGTAATGGCTCCTAACTTGGGTCACGCAAATGGGGCAGAGGGAATGGAATGGTATCCTAGAAAAGGGCATGGCTGGCTGGCTGGAACACTGAAGAGGAACACTCCACAGTGCAATAGGACCTGAGCATACTCAGGGATGTGTAACGGCTACCAAATTGGGATACACAAGTGGGGAAGACAGGAGGGAATGGTATCCTGGAAGAGGGCATGGCTGGCTGGCTGGAACACTGAGGAGGAACACAGTGCAACGTTTTGTTGTTGATCCCACTTGTACTCAGATAATAACTATCCCACTCCATGCACAAGCTCCCCCCTTCCCTAGCAACCTCCGAAGCCAAACTGTCTCTTACAAACAGTAACCAAAGTTAGGGCAGACCTTGGCGACCGACCCCAAAGATAGCCTGATATGTACAGGCTCGGGCTACCCTTTGGAGCCCAGCCTTCACATGTCTCTGCCCGTGAGGAGCCCAAGGTCACTAGGATGACGGGCATAACGGCGCAGGCCTGGTGATCTGGCCCCTTGGGGCTGTGGGCGAGACCCTGCGGTGGGAGGAGAAAGGGATGGGACAGCTAATCCAAGCCTTTGGGCCAGGTTCGTGATGCCAGAGCAGGGCCAGGGCATTTGGCAATGGTACAAGGTATGGAGTGGGCCGGGAGGGACTTATATAACCCAAAACCAACCAGGCTGCCAAATCCTTCTAGCAATTCTACTGGGAAGACAGTGTGATTCGGCAGGCTCAAAGCCAGGATTCCTGAATACTATTTATATATATGGGGGAGGGGGCACTGCTGAAGGGTTAGAGCAAAAGAGATGCTGTCAGCTAGGACACTGGGGGGGTCAGGACCCACTGCTGTGCCACGGTCTGGTCTAAGGGGAAACCCAACAGCGTCTGAAAGGGCTGAAGACTACTGACCTCCTACAGCTGCAAAAAAGGAACAGACAGCAGCAAGTAGCGTTGCCTTTCCCAGTTTTCCAGTCTTAAATCCCATTTTCCACATCCGTTGGC